CTTGGGGTATAATGATCTCCAGTTGGACTGGATCTGGTCCCAAGTCCATGACGGATATGTAAGTTTGACGTACATAGTGTACGTCCCAACGCCTGTAGATGCCAAATTCTTTCAGAAAATCCCCCATGTCCAGTCTGGCTGGAGCCCGAATTTTTGCTTCCTCCTGTGCCTCGAATGCGTGCTACTGGGACATCCCTCCATCCAAGAGTCCCATTTCAATACATTGCCCCGAGAATCGTGGCATCGCATTGAGCCACACACCCCCAAAAAAAGTCCCGTCCTGCGCCGTGGACGGTATACGACCACCAAAACATCAGCAAACGTCACTAGACCTCGCAAATACAAGAGTTGGACCTGTCCGACTCGTCAAAAAGCAGATCAACTGGCCCTCCTTCTATTGCTCGACACTGGCTCTTCATCATCTTCCTCGTCATCGTCATCATCAAAGACTTTGTTCTCTTCCTCTTCTTCCCGTTTTAACTGTTCTTCTCTCATCTCTCGATACGTGGCCCAGCTCAACATGACGAACGCCACAACGATCAAGCCGCAACCGGCGAGTGCCGCCGTGCTGAGTGGTTTCCCGGTGATGATCCAGTCTGTAATACCCACCAGAAAGATTGTGAGGAGTGCGGCAACAGAACTTAGGACTGGCGAGGTGAGGGACATGAGGACGAGGAAAGAGCCGGAGAAAACAGCATTGGAGAGGGTGGAGATTGCGAGTAATCTGGCTGCTTGGCCACTTGGAATCTCAAATGTCTCCAGGCCAGTCCAATGAAGGATGGGGAGAGGGATCCAAAGAACGGTCAGTGTGAAAAGCCCAACCATGCTGCCAAACGTGTTTGCGAAAATCATTCCCCTGCCTGGGGAAGTACCCTCAGGGGGACAAGCGAAGCGTTTGTAAAGGACTTCGTAAAAACCGTACGCCACCGAGCCAATGCCAATGACGATGTTCCCCACGAGTTTTGTTCCGAATCCCTTTTCAGCACCTGGGTTTGATGTCCCTGGACCAGGGGTGGTGTCATCTTTATCGCCATATGCGACGACAAGGACGCCAATGATGGCCAGAGCAACCGAGATTGCCTTGTCAAAGCGTAATTTGTCGTTCAGGAGCATTATGGAGAATACATAGGCGAAGAAGGCGGAACAGTTGTAGATCGCGGTGAGGTCGGACGGTGAGGTCAAATTGACAGCAACGTACCACGATCCTCCGGCCATCGTCAGAAACGTGGTGATGAAGGCGGTGGCTCTGATCATGTAGGGCCAAGGGGATACCAGAGTGGTGGACTTTGAGAGATGTAATTCTTGAGAGCGGACCATTTGCGCCGTAGAACGGAGGAGGTAAACGTGTCTTCGCCAGAACGCAGGCCAGGACAGTTGTCGTTTCTGTATCCGGAGGAAGATGAGTTGGACTGGCCAGAGGAATATCCACGAGCCGTGCGTCAAGTACATCATGCAATATGCCTTGTCCCATTTCAGTTCGTGTTGAATATATACCGCAGTTTCCGTCTGCACGACAAAGGAGATGAGGGAAAGGATGAGGAAGAAGGAAGCGTAGATGTATTTCCGCCGCACCATGTCTTCGGGTTGGACGTATGAAGGAGACCGCGAGCGAAATGTGCTCCTCCGAGACGAGAGTGCTGGTCGGGCTGAGCCATGGAGACTTGGTGACTCTGGTCGACCTCTTGTGTTTGTATGTTTGTCTTCCCCTAATAGCGGTTCGTGCGATTCTGGCCCAAGAGGCTGGTGCATTGACGTTCTCCCAGCCATATCGTCGTCGTCTTCCTCTTCGTCTTGTCTATGTTCGTCATTCACATCGAAATGCACCCCTCGAATGTGCTGTCGATCCGCCCGGAATTCGTCTTTTATAGCTGGGGGAAGGGAGTTGAGACGCAAGGGGCTCGAAGGACGTAAAGTGGATTTGGCGGATGCGGCAGAGGCCGAAGCGAGAGGTAGGGGCGACTCAGTGCCAGGAGGCGTATAGATGAGATCTCCCCCAGACGAGTCGCTACTGTCGGACGGTGTCATCCATGCGGTTGGGAACAGGCAGGGCTTATAAAAAGGTCACCAGATTTGGTCAGTGGCCTGCGGTGTGGGGAGGACAGAATCATGCGCAGTCGGTCTGCAGTCGATACGTGGCGCTGTTGGTACCAGTGGGACGGCTTGTACGACTCTGATAGGAAGGGCTGTGACGGTGTCGAGGTTCACCCGTGAGATTCACCAATGTAGTTGTCGATAAGGACGGCGAGAGAATTGCACTATTCTCTTAATGCCCTGCGGAGATCAAAGGCTTCCATCATCTGCATTCAGTGTTGGCTGCCGATTGGGGGCGTAGACGAAGAGGCTCTCAACTACTGGGGTGGCGTGGGGGGCTAGGCTGTTGGGGCTGTTCAACTGGACCCTGAATCCCGCTGTACCGAGTATGTACATCCAGGCAACTCGGGTGCGTTCCGCAGGCCCCCTTTCCCGGCTCTCTCTGGGTACTTTTTTACTCGTACTCTTACTGGTGCTTTCATTGACAGTCCCTTTATTAGGTACAGTTCTACATGCACACCGAGACTCATTGTGCGTACTTTGACCTCCTGGAGAGGCTCACCAGGCATCATGGTTGTGCAACACCATCCGGAAAGAGTGTATCTCAGTACCTAATCAACCACAGACCAACTGCCACATATGTCCTTGGTGTCCTCAAAACTGGCAGAGGAACCTTTGGTTTCCTTGTTTCTTTCCCATGACCAGATGTTAGCTCCCATTCGGGCTGGAATCCTGTCTTGATGCCCAAGCCCGTGGCGAGAAGGTGCATATTGGCTCTTCTGGTCGCACGAGAGATCTCCAGCAGGAGACCATAAGGGTCATTTTTGGCGAATGGTATGGTCCGCCTTTTTGGTTCGGCTATGCCTGGTTTACGCTCTTGTGTCGCTTCCCAACAACCTCATGAGTCGTGCCGAAGGTGAGAGGACGGAGAGAGGTTCGCGTTCTCTGTATTCGGTGATTCTCGACCTTTCGACTTTCGAGGCTGTGCTATTACACCAAGGCTGCGGTGCCAGCAAAGACCGCAATCGAAACGCAGGACATCTGATAGACACACTACTAGCAGAATGACTACCACGGCGTGTTGAAAAGAGGAGCAACGGAGAGTCATTTCACCTTTGTTACCACGATACCAACGCCACAGTCAAGATCGCAGGCGCAGGCGGCACGTGATGCCGTGTTTCGGTTGTCTTGCGATGTGACCTTCTTTCAACCTCAACTCATTTCTACTTCTTTCCAATTTCTAGGTCAGATTTCTCAATGCAGATCCAACAAGACGTCGACCTTTTTCCGAGCACGACTGAGCAGATGAGGGTTCATATTCTGATTCAGAAACAGGGATGGACCTGAATAGTGCTCAGAAGGGGCGCACTAGGCCGAGTCTCAACTAGATTGATTCCGGAGCAACGAGTCACACTACGCACTCACAACCTTCAATGCATACGGCACTGCTTGCGATGCCTGTGAGAGTCTCATGAACGTTTCCCCAAGAGCACCGAGGGAGAGCCAGATGACAAATAATAGCAAACCTCGGCGAACGTCCATTTTGTCGAAGGGCTACGAGGGATCCGACTTGACTAGTTCCTGGCGGTTGTTCTCTGCCACGATATAAACCTTCCCCCATCCTTGTTCCAAGACACCGCACTGCCATGTCTACTTTAAAGAATCCCCACGGGGACAAGACCAGGAGATGCTTCAACAGAGTGGGCTCAAGTCTTTCTAGACCGCCAATAGCAGTGATTCTACCATGTACAAGCTGAAGGTGAGAGGTTGACTTCATCAGAATCCAGGATCTACCGAAAGCTTTCCAGACATATTCGGCGTCCTGAAAATCCCCATCTTACGGGTGGAGGCTTTGAAGCTAATCCATCGACAAATTGACCTCGATTGGGTTTTTTTCATCAACTCTGGCTCTGCAAGAGCGGTTCACCTCTCGCTCGGTTGCTGATAGCTCCGGAGGTATAGATTCGGGCACGGGTGGCCTGAGCCGCTTGGATTCCGGAATCGGAATTCATATGAGGCCGATGGGATTACTACAAGTACTAGCTGAACGTCAAGCTTGGTCCACTTTGGCCGTTTTGCCGACTTCAAGACGACTCACCAGGACCGCGGACTTGCAAGGCGTCGGCCAGCCTCCAATCCGAGATCCTATATCCGCAATCGGAGGAGACATGCTAGTCTTGTGCGTTCGTGCCCCTGTTTAGGCCTACAGAGCAGCGGCCCAGGATTTGATACTGGACTGCAAGAGTAATCATCGATGTCATTGGCATGACCGACTGGGGAAGTAACCGGAAGAGGCGGATATACGGTATCTACACAGCCGGTATTACTGAGCAAATCATAAGGTCTGTTTGATGTCTACAGTTTCAGGCGAACAGCCGGTCATGGCCTTGGAGCGCCTTATCAAACGAGGCTTCGTATACGCTTCTTCGAACTCTGCCCGAGGCTGCAGTCGAGCAGCATACCAGCAGGCAGTCGAGAAGACACGGTTCTAATGACTTGATCTATGCTACAGGAAACCGCCTTTTGGGAGTACAACTGGCAAGCTGGGCATATCTATATGCCCGAAGCTAAAGCTAAGCAATCCTTCCGACAAGCCCGTGAGAGATTCCTGCGCCATAACGAGACTTTCTTGTGCATAATATGACATGGTGGACATGTTCCGTGCAGGCATAGACCTGTTGTGCACTGATTCCAGGATGCTCGACAGAATCCCTCAGCTGTCTATTCGAAGAATCAAACGCAACCAATCGTACGGTAATCCGAAATGGCGATCTTCAGGGCGCTGACGAGGCGCAAGGCCTGAAGCTCTGTGGATGTGAAACCACTTTATAAACTAGAAGGACCTCAGTGCTGAAGTGGTGAGTGCCGGTCACTGAGTGCCTTGGGATATATATGCGACGGGATTTTGCTACCTAGCATATTCCTCTACTGCTTTCCTCTCCATCTTCTTGTCTCTTGAAGAAAGTGCCATGTATTTCTCGGCAATCATTACTGCTGCTCTGGCAGGTGTTGCCTGCGCAAAGCCCATCAAACAGATCAAGAGGCAGACCATACAAGATACATACGACTTCATCATTGCTGGAGGCAAGCTATACACAGCGTGGCACAACGGCTGGACTAACCTCAAGCAGGTGGCACAGCGGGCCTCGTTATCGCAAACCGTTTGACGGAGTGTCCCAACGTCCGTGTGCTTGTGCTAGAAGCAGGTCCAGAACCAGGGATTGTTGCGAACTATATGTACCCCGGCGGAAATCAATATCTTGCTGGTGAGATTCTAGGTCTGAACACTTCCCAAGCTGCTCACTCACTGCCCTAGGTACGGCGGTCGACTACAATTACTATACTGTGCCGCAAACGACCCTTAACAACCGAATTCTTCCCTACCACCGTGAGCCCCTCCACACCATCTGGACTTCAGGTTTGACTGACTGGTGCTGCTAGGAGGACGTGGTCTTGGAGGGAGTTCGATCATTAATGGCTTATATTATGGAAGAGGCAGCGCCAGCGTCTACGATCACTGGGTCGAGCTAGGCAACCCAGGCTGGGGCTGGGATGATTTATATCCTTTGAGCGTCAAGGTCGGTGTGGTCGGCGTGTTACTGCATAGATCAAACTGGCTGACTGTTACAGCAAACCCATTTCAACCCACCCAACTTCAAGGATACCTTCGACCACAGCTACCAGACCTGGGATCCTACTGCTTATTCCAACGGCGAGCTACAGATTGCGTTCCAGGGATTCGTGCCAGATTCAAATGTGGGCTTTATTCGCGCTAGTGAAGCCATAGGCATCCCCATTGTCAATGAACTCAACAGCGGCAACAACACGGGGGTCAAGCAAGGCACTGGATGTTTTGACCACCGGCTCAGGCGCAGCTCGAGCTATGACGCCTTCTACAAGCCGATCCAAAACCGCACGAATCTCGACGTCCTCCACTATGCGTCGGTGACCTCGATTCAGTTCACAAAAGGCCGCAATGGGACATCACGCGCAACCGGCGTCTCCTTTACAGACCAGCCAACTGGGCAGTTTATCAGTGTCAATGCGACCAAGGAGGTCATTGTGACCATGGGGGCCTTCAACAGCCCTCAACTTCTGATGATTTCGGTCAGTCAATGTGGATGAAACGCTGGCTATTTCTGACGTTTCCGCAGGGAATCGGGCCAAGCGGACAGTTGAGCCAAAACGGGATCAACCCTGTGTATATCAACGAGAATGTAGGGCAGAAGTAAGTGTCCCCAAATACTTGTGGTTAGAGGCTGCTCTAATTCTACACAGCTTGAATGATCACTGCGTCTTCAGCATCATGGCCTTGGTCCAGCAAACAGCCTCGACTAGTTCCATGGCCGTCAACGATTCCACACTTGCAGCGGCGCAACAGCAGTTCCTCGATTCTCTGACTGGGCCATACACTGCTCCTTCTGGAATCACCAATGGTTTTCAGCGGTTGTCGAATGCTACCCTGCGAGCCATAGGTGCGCAGGCTGTGCTCGATGCGGGACTTGTCAACCAAGCGCACGTCGAGTTCTTGTATGAATCCCAATTCTACCCTAGCGGTCTGGCTTTCCTCCCGTCCTCTGGCGGCACTTCGTCGACCGGGGGTGCCTCTTCGTCTGCATACTATGTCCCCCAAGCCAATTTGTCGTACATCTCACTCACGGCGTCGCCGCTTGTGGCGCTGAGTCGCGGGAACGTGACACTCAAGTCGGCGTCGATTTTTGATGCACCCAACATCGACCCCAACTACTATTCAAACGAAACCGATCGCGCCGTAGCCATTAATGCGTTTAAGGACCTGCGAAAATTGCTTGCACATCCGGCGATTGCACAGTTTACCATCGGCCCCGATAACGGCGAGGTCCAACCTGGAATCGCGAATATCCCCGCAAACGCCTCGGACGATACTATCTTCGACTATATCAAGACCAACACCATCCCGAACTGGCATGCGAGTGGGACCTGCCAGATGCTCCCTGAGGCTGATGGTGGTGTCGTGGATTCACGGTTGCGGGTTTATGGAGTGCAGAACCTCCGAGTCTGCGACGTCAGTATCATCCCACGGCTGCCCGATGTTAACCTGCAGGGCCCGGTATTTATGATCGGTGAGAAAAGTGCCCAGATCATCAAGGAGGATTACAACCTGCAATGTTAGAGGAGTTAGTTTCAAGGCTGGAATACGTGTACTCAGAGAGACACTGCCCGTGCCGGTGCGAAAAGAATCTGGAGATAAAGTACTCTTAGGAGGGCATATAGCTGCACAAGCACGATCTGATGTTTCGGTGGCAGCGAGTGGCTGGACACAAATGTCAGGTTATCTCTAGGATGATGGTGACACCGGCAAACACTTGGATAGAAAGAAGAAAAAAAGCATAGACAAGCGCCGTGTTAAGCCGATCACAACAGCAATCAATTTTCGTGGTTAACCAGAATTGGAGAAAATCCAATGGCGTCATGTACATAATGCTGGGGAGGGCGTCGGAGGTGTCGGGGTAGGTCGGTCATCTTCCATTGTCGCCGATAGCAAGTTGCGCAAGCAAAAGTCACCACAGGGAAAAAGCTTCGACTTTATCTCCTGAGCGCAAGTGCCCTACAAAAAGAACAAAGTCCTCGTCGTCACTTTCATGTTGCGCACCGCCGTCACCCGTTCTCAAGCCTCCCTGTCACCCCAGACGGCCGCTGCCCGCTTAGCGTCCGTCACCCGTCACATATCCCCAGCTCCCTCGCCCTCGCCCTCGTCCACGACCGCAAAGATGCCCCTCGTCACATCCACCATGACAAACAGCGACAAGCCGCGCATCATCCTCGGCCTCATGACGTTTGGCCCGCCGGGGACCGAGTCCAAGGGTGGCCGGGTCACGAGTCTGGAAGAATACAACAAGAACCTCGACTATTTCCAATCCCAGGGTTACAACGAGCTGGACACGGCGCGATCATACATTGGTGGGCGACAAGAAGCCTTTACGAAAGAGGCGAGGTGGAAAGACCGCGGGTTGACACTGGCGACCAAGTGTTTCCCCGTGAAGCCGGGCGACCACTCCCCAGAGAAGTTGAGGGCCAGTCTCGAGAAGAGTTTGGCCGAGCTGGGGACCGACAGCGTCGACATCTTTTACCTGCATGCCCCCGACCGCTCCGTGCCGTTCAAAGACACCCTGCAGTGCTGCAACGACATGTTCAAGGAGGGCAAGTTCGTTCAATTGGGACTGAGCAACTTTGCGTCGTGGGAAGTCGCCGAGGTGTGGAACATTGCCAACGAGCGAGGTTGGGTCAAACCCACCATCTACCAGGCCATGTACAATGCGATTACCCGGGACATGGAGACAGAACTGGTGCCGTGTTGTCGAAAGTGAGGATCACAGCTGAATTCTTAAGAGGGGTCGCAACAACAAAACAAGCTGACGTGGGATTTCTTGCAGGTATGGCTTGGACTTGGTCGTTTACAATCCGGTAAGTTTATCAATCCTGCTTTGCTCTGCGAGGGCAGCCAAAGAACTCACACGGCCCATGTAGCTCGCCGGCGGCGTGTTCAGCGGCAAATACAAGTCGAAGAACGACATCCCCAGTGAAGGACGGTTTGCGACCGTGGCCAACTCGGGAAAGGTACGTATCCCTAAAGTCTGTCCTGTATTGCCCACCACCACCACCACCACCAAAATTTGACCCTGACGCGCGCTCTCTCTCTCTCTGTGTTGTGTGAGATAGATGTATCGCGAGCGGTATTTCCACGACTCGACCTTCCAGGCCCTGCAGATGATCGAGCCCGTCGTCCAGAAACACAACCTGACCCTCCTCGAGACCGCCCTGCGCTGGTGCATCCACCACTCGATCCTGAAATTCGCCAAGGACGGCGGCAACGACGGCGTCATCATCGGCGTGAGCTCCCTGTCACAGCTCGAGAGTAACCTCAGAGACCTGGAAAAGGGGCCCCTCCCCCAGGAGGTCGTCGACGTGCTCGACAGCGCCTGGGAGACGTATCTCAAGGGCCGGGGTCCGACTTATTGGCGGTGAAACCCCGGAAGGGTCTAAAAAGGGGACGGACTCGCGGGTCAGTATGTAGTACAACAGAGCGGCGATTTTGTTTTCCTTCCACCACCAAAAAAAAGAAAGGAATTGATCCTTTTTTTTTCGGTAAGATGCATTAAAGTATGGCTTGCACGTACGTAAGAAGGTGGCTCTCATTGATTGAATTGAGAGGAAGGATCCACGTAGCTCGTAAAACGGTACAAGTCCCGATCTTGACCAGTGAGGTGAGGTGAGGCGAGGGAGACAAACTCAGGAGTATCCAGCCTTGCGACACGATACCCTTAACTTCGTCTCCCCGGTTAGTACGAGGAGGCATAAATAGTATTGCGAACAGACTTATACTACGACTACCTAGCTAGGTAGATAGCCCAAAAGGTCTGTTGGTGGTCAATGGCTTTGACGGCACTCTGGGCGTAGATGTTGTTGGTATTGGATCGAATCGAATCCTAAGGTACACGTACATGTTACATGTTACAAGAGACATAAAAGGGATCTGGCATCATCCCCTCTCCCACCTCCCAGGGGGCCTTCGGCGCCGGTATCGACCAACCAACTAACTAGCGAATCTGCCTCTCCCTCTCCCTCTCCCACCCCCTCTGCCCCTGCGCGCTCTCGTCCCAAACCGGAATTTCATGTCGTCACTGTCGTCGTCCTCATCGCTTCCGTCGCCCCCGCGCACATTCGTGACGGTGACAGGTAACGTCTTTTGACGTTTCGGGTTGCTCGTTTCCGCCTTGGAGGTTGCCGATCTCTTCCCCTTCTGCGATTGGGTCGCCCTCGGCGGCGTGTCGTCGTCTTGCGCTGCTTCTGACGCGTTCTCGCTCGTCTGTCGAGTGCGATCTGCAGCGCGCGTGCGCCGCGGCGTGCCGGGGTCTATTTCATGCTCGGCAGTGTCCTCTGATTCCCTCTCCAGCCGAGAAATCCCTGTGGTCATCGTAGCTGTCGATGCGCTCTCCGCGTCCTCCTCTGCCTGACCGATCAAATCGTCCATGTCTTCGTCGTCATCGTCCAAGACAATCCGTGTTCTCGATCTCCCGTTGACCTGGCCGGAGATGGTCCTGCTCGACGGTTGGGTCTGGCTCTGCGTCGTCCGTTGGATTCTCGCGTCCTCCCTACGCTTCCTCTCCCTCTCGCGCTCCTGCTCTTCTTCTGTCTTTGACCAATATTGATCACCTAAGCCACCCGTTTTGTTCGGGACTTCGACCAGTGGCACGATGACCTTGCTGGCGTGAGATCTTCGTTGAGCTGGTTCGCCGTTACGACGGAAGCCCTTGAAGTTCTTACGACCATTCCACTTGGGATCCCAGTCTGGTCCGTGCCGATCGTTGACCCTGTTGTTCGCCTTCGACCTACTATCACGTACTGGAAGATCAATTGTGACTACGTCAACCAAATTGGCAGGTGCCTTGTCCTCAATGCCAGGCAGGCCAGCTTCGAGTTCTTCTTCCTCTCTCCGAGCGGCTTCTTCCTTCTCTTGCCGTTGTTTTCTGGCGGCTTCGCGGACGTCAATTTCCCGTTCCACCTTGATCTTTTTCACGGGTGATGGACCTGGTTGAATGTCCTCCTCAATAGTGCGCCCGTTCGCCGCTGCTTCCGCTAGCTTTCGTCTCTTCAACGCGGTCGCTGCAGGGAGGAGATCGTCCATTTCCTTTGCAAATGTATCGTGTTGCTGCTCTGTTGGTGATCGAGGTCGCTTCCTCGTTGTTGACTGTGACTCTTCTTTGATGACGATAGGTGACCTGGCTTGACTTTCTGGTTCGGAGATGTATGCGGCTTCCTCAATAACCTCGTCTTCCTCATAAGCAGCGACGGCGTCGGGGTCGAATCCATCGTCAAAGTTCTTGAACTTGGTCAGCTGCGAGACTTTCGGGACGGGGAGAGGTCTCGTATCCTCTCCTCTGGCGCCGTTGACTTGTGAGACATCTTGTTCTGATGTTTGTGAAGGTTGGGACGTCGCTGCTGCGTTGCCTATCGCTTTTGTCGCATGGGCGGTTTGCCAACTTTCATTCTCTGTTCCACTGCTGCCATTTGTGTAGGACCCGCTGACCTGGCCAGTGACAAGGGAACTCACTGCAGACGGTGGAGGTGCGATTCTCCCTTCGTTGGTGCTTTCGAACGGGATAGGCTGTTTGAGAAGTCCGGCGTCATTTGCTAAAATAGCGTCTAAAAACTCGGATTGATCGATTGCCCGCTGGTCCGTCTTTAAAGCCGACTCGTTGACAAGTGCAGTCGTCCATTCTTGAACGTCTTCCTTTCCAGTCCATCGAACCAGGATGACTCCGCCTTTAGACCCAGCTATAGTGTCGCCAGCTTTATTCCCGGCGGCATTGTGCAAGAATTGAATCAACTCCTCACTAGTTGTTTCAAAATTGACCACTTTGAATAGTACAGCTTTCCCATGCCCACTTGTTATGACGGGTAACAGAGTGTCATATTGAGTTTGATCGCCAAAGACAAAGGTGTAATGTTCAAATACGTTGACTCGCGTAGGATCCGGTTGATATGATTCCGCAGGCCTGATCGTGGGTTCCTTTCCCGGGGGAGGAAGGTGGTCCTTCGGATGAGGCCAGGCACTGTCAAAGTCAGTTTCCAGCGGAGAGAGATTTACCTCCTGGCTCAGAGTGGCGGGACTCGCAACGTAGTCTAGGGCGTCGAGGTATGATTCTGTCACGAGGTATTTGGCGTTGACCAGCGCCAACAGACCTTTGGCAGTATTTCTCTTGCTGGCCACGACGTGGGTGGTGTTCTCAGACGAAAAATCGCTAATCGCCTTGATGTCCAGATCCCTCACCCTTTCCTGCTTTGTCTTGAGAACTCCCGACTTGATCTCTTTCTTGAGAAGATTGAAGGTGAAGATGCAGGGTTGCCATGTGACGGTGAACTCATAGGGGCAGCTCCCTGGCCGGATCGAATTCTCGGCATCTTTCAGTTCTCGCACAGGGTTTGGCTCCTGCTCGTTCTTTGGGTTTTGCTTCTTGATCAACTCGCCGTTGACATACGTTCCCGTCTTTGAGTGGTCTTCGATGCGTATCTTCGTTCGGGTGTGGATCTGGCCGACGTCGGCATCCTTGACAGGGTCGACGGAGATATTGAAGTGTTGTCTGGAGACTGTTTTGTGATCGATAGCGATCA